GAAACTACAGAACCACCCCGTGCTCCTGCCACGATAGATCTGCAATGGTACTAGGCGCACCGGCCCGGGCCGCGCAGAGTCAGGCGTGAAAGCCCCTTAGACTCCAATTGTTTTCCATTATAAATAATATATTAGTTTTTTTTTTTTTTTTTTTTTTTTGGAACCAGGACGTTACAGAAGGCAAAGATAGGGGAGGGTTTCAAGACGCCGACGGCTCCGAGGATGAGGCACATTGGAGAGAAGTCCGAGGCACGCGGATCCACCGATGTACACTGATTGGCACCACCACACCAGTCGGGCTGCCCTGAAACTGCACCTCTATTTCCTCTCTCCAGTCCCCCACGCAGCAGCTGTTTTTCATACCAAGCAGGCGTCTAAACTACGGCCCGAGGCCACGTGCGGGGTGTATTTGGCACTTTGTTGATTTTTTTTTTACTCTTCTGGCAGTGTGCATAGAATTTGTTCATAGTTTTTTTTTAAAAAACTATAGCCAGTCCATCCCACGGTCTGAGGGACACTGAACCTGGCCTTAGTTTAAAAAGTTTGGGGACCCCCTGCCCTAGGTGATAGGAGGGATTGTTGTTGTGGTGGTTTTTTCCTGGCAATGAGCGGAGCGTTCTGGAGCGATGAGGTGCCAGGGCCGGGTGACACGTCACAGCCCTCCCGAGGGAGTCCACTGTTCCGATGGCCCTTCCCTCCTGTCTCCGTCCGTGATTCCCAACTCCCGCCACCTGCTCCCTTTTCTTTCAGGAGCTTCGAGGGCAACCTGAAACCTACCAAGAGTCTGGCCATCAAGACTGCCAGACCGATCAGATCCCAAAGTAGGCAGCAGGCAGTGCGGCCTCCGCCCTCTTTCCGCCCGCCAACATGTAGGCCCAGCCCAAAAGTCGCGCCCCCTGAGAGGCATCCTGGCCTTGAATCGACCTCCCCTGACCTCAGTACCAACTCCCCCGACCTGGGGCGCGGCCTCGGCCGACCTCAACCTGGGACCGACCTCCCCGGCCTCGGGCCGACCTCCCAGTGGGTGCCGGTCCGGCTAGGCGCGTGGCCGCTGCCAGGGGGCCAGCGCGGTGTGGGACCTCATGCACCGGTGACCTGGCTGCGCAGCTGACACATCACGTCAAACACACAGACAACGAATGCGGTCTCAGTGGGCGAGCCACGGGCGAGGAACGAACAGCGGCGTGAGCGTACGTGCGCGTGCACAGCCTAACGGACACAGGAACATCAAAGCAACACACTAACTGACGGCTTCGACGCTTCGCCAAAGCCAGTGGCGTGGCACTTGCACAATGCAGGACTCACCTTGAGCAAGAAGGCCGCCCCCTTTCCTCCCTCGCCACCCTCCGGGTCTCGGCCTGACGCCCCTCCCCCCACCTGTGCAGCAGCCAAACACAAGGGCCTCCTGCTAACAGCCGTGCCCTGGATCCTCGCTGGTTGTGCCCCTGGGTGGGGCAGGGGACCCATCACGTTCCTGGCGGCGGGCATGCCGTGGCGAGACTGCTTTGCAGATCTCGGTGGCACGGCAGTCGGAGCCCTCTCCTCTCGCAAAGGCGCCGACTCCCTTCCTTCCTCCAGCCACTAGCCTCTCACCTGTGTTTCCGTCAGATCCAAAAAATCGGCTGGACAGACGTCGCGCTGGAGCGGGCCAGGCGGGTCCAATCCTCGGACCAAACGGTGATTTCCAACCTGGACCCTTACCCCCACATGCCCTGGGGAAGGGAACCGGGGCCCGTCCCAGAAAGGACTGGCGGGCGTCATCTGGGGGACTGCTGTTTCCCACGGGGAGTTCCTCAGAAGTGCAGCTCGGAGAGTTTACCTGTCCTCCATCAGCCAAGGAAATGCAGAGGTTGTGGCCCAGGGAGTCCCCTGGGGTGCGCAGAGGGGAAGCGGAGGCACCAAGGCTTGTCATGCGCCGGAGTGAGCCCAGACACGTCACCCGCGAGCATTCGGTCTGGTGGGGACCACAGCTCTGCCACCCGGGAATTCTGTATAAAAACGCCTTTTCCGGCCCCAGGCAAGTGGCTCACGCCTGTCATTCCTAGCACTCTGGGAGCCGGGTGGGAGGCGATCGCTCAGAGTCAGGAGTACGAAACCAGCCTGAGCTAAGACGAGACCCGTCTCTACCTATAAAGAAAGAAATTAATGCCAACATAATATATATACAAAAAATTATCCGGCGGGGGCAACAATGCCTGTAGTCTCCCAGCTAACTTTGGGAGGCGAGCAGAGATTCTTGACCAGGAGTCTGGAGGTTGCTGTGAGCTAGGCTACGCCACGGCATCACACTCAGCCCGGGGGACAGAGCGAGACTCTGTCTCAAAAAAAAAAAAGTATTTTCTGAACTTCAGTGAGCTTTGGTGTTCCCACATAGCTGCAGGTGGCAGATGTTCAAGCAGATAAATGCACAAGACTTCCTTTTTGGATAAGATTTCCCGCCGAACCGCTCCTCGCCTTAGCCCTGCCTGCTGTTGTCGCCCCAGATGGCGGGTGGGATGGTCTGCTCTCTGCTCTGGGCCGCCAGGGCGGCAGCGGCTTCCGCCAGGTTTCCAGCGTGATCATGTGGCTCTGACCTCTTGGACCTTGATTAAACCGTTCCCCAGGTTTCTGCCGGGAATGAACCTGGGAGCGATCGCTGACAGATGCACAACCATAACATCCACGCCCCGCTGATGATCGCGGATATCCGAGTGGGTTCCTGCCCCCTGCTGAGCTGCCCGCCGGTTGCGGGCACGGGCCGGGTGGCTCCAAGACTCAGCCGACTGGCCGCTCCCGAATCCCGATTCCAGGATTGCCGCCTCCGTGCCACCGCAGAGTGTGACAGGAGCGATCGGTGCCCCAGCCTGTCAGGAAGCCCAGAGCTGTGTCCTCTCACTCTTGGTTCCTCTGTCCCCCAGAGCTGCTGGTTTCGAAGCTGTATAAAAATGATGCCTAACACCTTGGATGTGCACGTCCGGTCGCGCCAGAGAGCAAGTGGTCCGATGGCTAGACCGTTAATACGCATTTTGAGGCCGGGCGCGGTGCGTCCACGCTGTCGTCCTAGCATCTGGGAGCCGAGGTGGAGATCGCTCCAAGGTCAGGAGCTTCAAACCAGCCGTGAGCAAAAGAGCGGACCCGCGTCCTACTAAAAATAGAAAGAAATTAATGGAATAATAATATATATAGAAAAATTTCCGGGCGTGTGGCGCATGCCTTAGTCAGCTACTCGGGAGCGAGGCAGAGGATCGCCTGGAGCCAGGAGTCTGAGTCGCTGTGAGCTAGGCTGATAGCTACGGCACTCTGGCCAGGCAACAGAGTGAGACTCTGTCTCAAAAAATATAAAGGATTAGGCCGGTGCGCGGTGGCTTCACGCCTGTAATCCTACACTCGGGAGGCCAAGGGCGGGCGGATTGCCCGAGGTCGGGAGTTCGAAACCAGCCTGAAGCGAGACCCGTCTCTACTAAAAAAATAGAAGAAATTAATGACCAACTAAAAATATATAACACAAAATTATCCGCATTGGTGGTGCAGCTGTAGTCCAGCTACTTGGGAGACTGAGGCAGGAGATCAGCTCAGCCAGGAGGATTGTTGGTTGCTGTGAAGCTAGGCTGACGCACGCACTCACCTTACCAGGGCATACAAAATGAGTACCTCTGTCAAAAAAAAAAAAAAAAAAAATAAAGATTAAAAAACAAATCACATATTGGAATAGTTCCTCTTTCTCTTTTTGTATTGAATGAAGACAATTCTATGACAAGCTTTTGGTTCCTTTCAAGAAAACTAAGAACTCAGATAGACTTGTTACTGATAAGAGAATGTCCATCGTTCTAATGAGGATGTCCTGTCTCCTCCTGTGCTCACCGTCTGTGGTTAACCGAGCCGTTGTTTCCTAGTGTCCAGTCCCAGTGTGCTCCATGAGCTGTGGGCAGGAGGGGCGCTCCCATGACGCCTCCCTCTCCCATCCCCTCCATCCACCATCCCCTCCTCCCCATCCCCTCCCATCCCTTCCTCTCTCCTCCTCCCTCCTTCTCCCCTCTCCTCCTCTCTAACTTCCCCATTCCCTCCTCCACTCCCTCTCCTCCTCCCCTCCTCCCTCCTCTCCCCTCCCTCATTTCTCCTCCTCTTTCTCCCCTCCTCTCTCTCCTCCTCTCCTCCTCCATCCCTCTCCCTCCCTCCCTCCTCCCTCCTTCACTCCACTCTTGCTCCTCCCTCTTCTCCCTTCCTCTCTCCTCTCTTCTTCTTCCTCCTCCCTTCACTCTCCCTCCTCTCTTCTCCTCCACTCCCTCCTCTCCTCCCCTCTCTCCCTCCCTCCTCTCCCTTCCTTCTTCCCCTTCTTTCTCCATCCTCTTCTCCCTACCCCCTCTTTTAACCCCTCCTCTTTCCCCTCTCTTTCCCTCCTCCTCTCCCTCCCTCTCCTCCCTCCTCTCCTCCTCCCTCGCTCTCCCTCCCTCTCCCCTTTCCCCTCTCTCCCTCTCCTCTCCCTCCCTCCCTCCCTCCTCTCTCTCTTCCCTCTCTCCCTCTCCCTCCACTCTCATCCCCCTCCTCTCCCCTCCTCTTCTCCCTCCTCCTCCCTCCCTCTCTCTCCCATCCCACTCTCCCCTCTTCCATTCCTCTCCTCTCCTCCCTCCTCTCTCCCTCCTCTCTCCCTCTCCCCTCCTCTCTCCCCTCCTCCCCTCTTCTTCTCCCCTCCTCCCTCGTTCTCTCCCTCCTCCTCTTTCCTCCGTCCTCCCTTCCTTTCTCCTCTCCCTCTTCCTCCTCTCCTCCTCCCTCCTCCTTCTCCCCCTCTTCCTCCTCCTTCCCCTATTCCTCCTCTCCTCCTCCTCTCCTCCCTCCTCCTCTTCTCCTCCTCCTCTCCTCCCTCCTCCTCTTCCTCCTTTTCCTCTTTCCTCTTCCTCTCTCCCCTTTCCTCTTCCTCCCCCTCTTCTTCCTCCCCCTCTTCTTCCTCCCCCTCTTCTTCCTCCCCCTCTTCTTCCTCCCCCTCCCCCTCTGCTGCCCCACGACCTCTGGCCCTTGTCTGACAGGCCTACCTGGGGCTCCTAGAGCTGTCGGCAGCCCGGGAGAAGCACGAGGAGTTCTGTGTCCCCATGGTCATGGTCCCCGCCACGGTCTCCAACAACGTGCCCGGCTCCGATTTCAGCATCGGGGCGGACACGGCGCTGAACACGATCACGGACGTAAGTGCGCGCGCCCAGCAGAGCAGGCGCCGGCGACACTAACCCCCGGCCAGGCCCTTTTTATCTACCAGTGACTAGAAACGGCCGCGTGCCAGTCCCTCTCTCGGACACCCCGAAGGATGAGCCAGCCTTTCTATTCTTTTGTTTTGTTTTGTTTTGTTTTTTGAGACAGAGTCTTGCTTTGTTGCCCAGGCTAGAGTGAGTGCCGTGGCGTCAGCCTCGCTCACAGCAACCTCACACTCCGGGGCTCAAGCAATCCTCCTGCCTCAGCCTCCCCAGTAGCTGGGACTACAGGCATGCGCCACCATGCCTTTCTTTTTTGTTCCAGAAAAATATTAAAAGTTGTTTTAGGCTCTGAAAATCCTTGATCTAGCTCACAAAACTTTTGCCGCCTCTTTTTCTGTGTGGCTGCAGGGATGATGAGGCCTGGCCAAGACTCCTTATGGCTCCAGGAGTATTTTCTGATGTGGATGATCATTAGAAATTTTTATTTATTTATTTTTTTAACTTTTCAATGCTCCAGACTTACCTATGGGCCTATAACACCTATTGTAAATCCTGAGTCCAAGGGCCTCTGCCTCGATGTTTGAAAGTAAAACTTAAACTAGATATTTTACCATTTTATTCATTGACCTGAATCCACTGTTTGCATTTATTATATGTTTGGTCTTGGCCGTAAACCTTATTTTCCCCACTTTGTTATCAAATTGGGGATGTTAAATTATATCTAGGATGATATTGATACTATTTTAGTATTTTTCCAAGAGGCGACAACAAAATACAGAAACATATTCTTATATTCGTAAATCACACTCAGTAATTCACACAGAAATTTAGAGATCAGTCGCTAACACAGAATGCTTTTTCTAAAATTTTTAAGTACACAATTTTTTTTTTTTATAATTGTCAAGTTCCATTTTTCCTCGTGAGATCTAGCTTTTGTGAATGTTTTTCTAAGATTTTTTTTTTTTTTCTTAAGCTCCTGACTTCACACATATTTCTAGTACTGGTAAATAAAAAGCAAAATACTTTAAAACAAAATACAACTGAAAGGGGTAAGTAATGCTTAGCCCTTGTATCTTGCTTTTCTGAACTTAAATTTTGTTTATTTACTTATTTATTTTTTACTAAATAATCCTGCTCAGCGTTTTATATCCATTCACTGGGTTTAACTTTACTTACTTGTGGTCACTAACCTCTTAAGCAGATGTCACTGCCCCACCTGGGGACGGTCGCGGCTGCGTCACTGCCGTGGGCTGGTGGGGCTCCGGGTGGTTCTTAGCGTCGTGAGCGCAAAGATCAGAGTCTTCCACACGCCGGATCTCACCTGTGTCGTTACCGCTTTTACCTGCCTTCGGTAGATTTTGAATCTACCTACCGTGTTTCCCCGAAAACAAGACAGGGTCTTATATTTATTTTTCCTCAAGGAGACGCCCTAGGGCTTATTTTCAGGGGATGTGTTGTTTTTGTTTTTGGTTTTTTAAGTACGGTACAACCATCTACATTGATTCAAATAGAGTTGAGTCGTCTTCTTCTGGAACATCATCCTCACTCTCCAAACCCCGAATCCCATCCTGAATGTCTTGCGACTGTATTTCCTTCAGAACCACTGGCCCCAATCTCTCCTGTCGAGCACTAGAGCTCTCACGGGGCAGATGAGAAGGGCTGCTCGTCTTCTTTCCTGCTCCACAACGACACGCACGGGTTGTGCAGATGCGCTGCGTGGCCACGCCCGTCACTAGGGCTTATTTTCGGGGTGGGGCTTCTATTGCGCACATGCTTAGAAATCCCGCTAGGGCTTATTTTATGGGTAGGTCTTGTTTTTGGGGAAACGTGGTACCTTGAGCTTGTGGTAGGAGGAATTGGAGCTTCTTTTATCCTAATTGTTGCCTGAGTAGAGCCCGCCCCAGGGGCCGGGCGGGGAGTTTGGACCTTGTTCCTTGTTCACAGTTAAGATGCTGGCAGGTGCTTTCCTCCTGGGGGCGTTGGCCCTGCAGTTTCAGGCACGAAGAAAAGATTCTCCCATTTTATAATTCCAGGGTCCTCTGCTATAAAGAACTCCTTTTTTCAAATTATAGATATATAATAAACGTACAGTGTAGAAAATTTAAAAACCAAAATCTACAGGGAAGAAGAAATTCAATATCGATCCCCCTTCTCTTTTACATCCCTTAGAGGGATGTTGTGATTTGTGATTATTTTAAAATTCAGGTTTTCATTCGAGTTTCTCAGCGCCAGGCTAACCGATTATAACGTCCGAGGAGGAAAAGGCAGGGGTAGGTCTGTCCTCGCTGCTGGCCTGGGGCACGGCCGTCCCCGGTAAACGGACGATTGTGTCCCTGGCTTCCAGCGCTGTTTCTGGGGCTCCGAGGAGCGGGGTCACCCGTCGGCTGCTGCGGCAGTGGTTCTGGTTTTGTGATTGGTGAGGGACGCCGGGCGGGCGGGACAACCTCGGCGAATGCCGCCTTGACCGCTCAGGACCCGGGCGGGGGTGAGAAAGGGCCAGCAGTCCCATGTGCGCCCTGGACGTGGACAGACTGCGCTACGCACGGGCGCAGCGCCGGCTCCTCCCGGAGTTCTGTTCAGAGAAGCCAGAGCGCTGTCAGGTCCTGCCGAGCGGGCTTGGATTTGGGTCTGGTTGGTAAGGAAGCCCTCTGTGAGGACCTACGGTGGTCGGCAGGGGTCACCCGCCATCCCAGGAGCTCCAAGCGGGTGTCCCAGACGAGCCCCTGCAGGCCACGGCCAGAGGGCCCCTGTGCGCTCCTGTCCAGGCGCTCTGTTTATCCTGGCTCCTAACATGGCCCCGGAGGGCATTCAGGTCTGGGCCGGCTGGGTCTTCTGTTCAGAAAGTTCAGTGGTTCTCAGCGGGGGGTGATCACCACCCTGGGGCTCTCTGCAAAGTCCAGGGGGTGTCGGAACTAGGAGAGGGGCTGTCTGGCGGGGGCGGGGAGAACAGCCACTGAGTGTCCCACTGTGCGCTCCATGGACGGTCTCTGTAGCGGCGAGTTCCCTGCTTAGATGTCAGCCTGTTGAGCTTGGGAAACCCAGGGGTTCTCGAGCTGTGCCCTGGTGGTCTCGAGTTGTGCCCTGGTGGTCTCGAGCTGTCCCTGGTGGTCTCGAGCTGTCCCTGGTGGTCTCGAGTTGTCCCCAGTGGTCTCAAGTTGTCCCTGGTGGTCTCGAGCTGTGCCCTGGTGGTCTGGAGCTGTGCCCTGGTGGTCTCGAGCTGTGCCTGGTGGTCTCGAGCTGTGCCCTGGTGGTCTCGAGCTGTCCCCGGTGGTCTCGAGCTGTGCCTGGTGGTCTCGAGCTGTGCCCTGGTGGTCTCGAGCTGTCCCCGGTGGTCTCGAGTTGTCCCCAGTGGTCTCGAGCTGTGCCCTGGTGGTCTCGAGCTGTGCCCGGTGGTCTCGAGCTGTCCCCGGTGGTCTCGAGTTGTCCCCGGTGGTCTCGAGTTGTCCCCAGTGGTCTCGAGCTGTGCCCTGATGGTCTTGAGTTGTCCCTGGTGGTCTCGACTTGTCCCTGGTGGTCTCAAGTTGTGCCCTGGTGGTCTCGAGCTGTGCCCTGGTGGTCTCGAGCTGTGCCCTGGTGGTCTCGAGCTGTGCCCGGTGGTCTCGAGTTGTCCCCGGTGGTCTCGAGCTGTGCCCTGGTGGTCTCGAGCCGTGCCCTGGTGGTCTCGAGCCGTCCCCGGTGGTCTCGAGTTGTCCCCGGTGGTCTCGAGCGGTGCCCTGGTGGTCTCGAGCCGTCCCCGGTGGTCTCGAGCTGTGCCCTGGTGGTCTCGAGTTGTTCCTGGTGGTCTCGAGCTGTTTCCTGGTGGTCTCGAGCTGTTTCCTGGTGGTCTCGAGCTGT